TTGGTGGCTTAAACTCACGCCAGGCACGTGTTCATGCATGCCCAAGAACCCAAGAGGAGAATGGAGGAGAAGGGATTGTAGTGTGGCCATCTCCCATGGCGGGGGGTTTCTCGCTTTCTGTCTCTCTGTCTCTCTCTGTCTGGCGAGCGCACGCGCCCTATAGCAAAAACCTCTCAAAAAAAAAAAATTCTTTAGATAGGAAAAAAAAACAACTAATTTCTTAGGACAACCTCAAAGAAAGAAAAGGCAGGGACCAGCAGTTAGCGTAATGGCTATGTCACTGGACTCCCATGTAGTCACCCGCAGTTCGAGTCCCAGACTTGGTGGCTTAAACTCACGCCAGGCACGTGTTCATGCATGCCCAAGAACCCAAGAGGAGAATGGAGGAGAAGGGATTGTAGTGTGGCCATCTCCCATGGCGGGGGGTTTCTCGCTTTCTGTCTCTCTGTCTCTCTCTGTCTGGCGAGCGCACGCGCCCTATAGCAAAAACCTCTCAAAAAAAAAAAATTCTTTAGATAGGAAAAAAAAACAACTAATTTCTTAGGACAACCTCAAAGAAAGAAAATGCAGGGACCAGCAGTTAGCGTAATGGCTATGTCGCTGGACTCCCACGTAGTCAACCGCAGTTCGTGTCCCGGACCCGGTGGCTTGAAACTCACGCTGGGAGCGTGTGTGTGCGTGCCCAAGATCCCGAGAGAATAATGAAGGAGAAGGGACTGTGGTGTGGCCATCCCCCCGGGGAGTGATTTCTCGCTTTCTGTCTCTCTGTCTCTCTCTGTCTGGCGAGCGCACGCGCCCTATAGCAAAAACCTCTCCAAAAAAAAGAAAGAAAATACACATCCAAGGGCAGGTTTTCTGGCTACAGCTAAGTGAAGAAATGGAAAATCTCTCCCCCACTAAAAAGTACTCTTAAAGCTGGACAAATGTAACAAAACGGCCACTGCAGTGCTCTGGACACCAACTGGGAATTTACCACTGAAAAACCGCTGCACTTCAAATAAGAATGGGCAACTCTGTGGGCTTCTGTGGTGGGACTGACCCGATGGCTGCCAGGCCCAGCTCAGCTGCTGGGAGGGACCCCTAGGAGACAGCCATGACCACCAGCGTCTTCTGTCCCAGAGTCGAAAGACGCTCACCTGACCAGAAATGGAGGGACACCTATGACTAGTGACACCGGGAATGGAAGGGACTCTGAAGGCTGACCAGCAGGGGAGGGGTTGAAATTGGCTCTGCTAGTCTGTGGCTACAGTCCGGACTGGAACAAAAATATTCCTGGCTGAAGACACACACACCAGAGACACAAAGGACCCTGCTAGTCATACACTCCTGGCCCCCCTCGAGGATGCGCAGATGAGCACAGGAGACTTCACGGAGCCAGGCTGAAAGCGAAACCCAGGCACATGGAAAGCAGCCTGAATTTTATAAATGCCCATTGCTAAAACCACAGAAAAAGCCATTTATACAGGACAGAAACCTTACTGGTTCTTGGTACATGAGCACAACCAACCACTCTCCATTCACTGGCTGGCCACTAGACTAAACAGATACAGTGCCACCTCTAGGAAACCAGACTTAAAAATAAATGGAAGGGGAGGGCAGGTGGTGATTAAAGTCCTGGACGCCCACACGGCCGACCACAGTTCTAGTCCCAGACCTGGCGACTTGCTTTCTCACTTTCCTTCTCTCTCTCTCACTCTGTCCCTCTCTAGTCAAATTAAAATTAATTAATTAATTAATTAATGAAAATGAATGAATGAATAAATAAAGCTAAATAAAATAATTCTTTACAAAGAAATAAATAAAATAAAATAAATGCTCCATTCAGCCAACTGACTCCACGCTCGCGGTTGAGGCAGGCCCGGGAGGCCAGAACCAGCGGAACAGCTGGGTGTGTGCCACCGCCACCCTCAAGTTCCTGTGTTGAGATTTGGCTGTGATGAGATTTAGTTGAGATGGGGTGATGAAAACGTAACCCAACTTCAATGTTGAAAAGTGGGGCCTATGGGAGAAGGTCGGGACTAAGGCCATTGGGGCAGGGGCCCCGTAACTGACTGCCGGTAGACTTACACGGAGATGGAATGAGCCAGAGACGTGGACACGTGCACACCGCCCCGCCCTCGGCCAGCTGTGACGCAGCCAGAAGACCTCACGAAATGTGGCTGGGTCCCGGCCCTCCACACGCAGCTAAATCAACCTCGATTCTCTCAATGCCAACGGGTGCCAGTGAAGATGACAAGGGGAACCTTCACGTCCAGCCCAACATCCAGTGTAGCAGGCAGGCCCGTCTACCCACGCCAGCATTACCAGTAGGCACAGCTGACATTTTTCATTCCTCCACCCGATGGCAGCAGGCAGCTCAGGCCCAGCTTTGCCTAGCAGGCCGCCTAGCAGCCTAGGGCAACACCGACTCGGTGTTCCAACTCCCCATCCAGCAGCACACAGAGGCCCAGGGGAAGGGACTTCCACCTCCACGGGCAACACCAGCAGGACTGAGAGGAGCCCTACAGCAGGTGGCAGCCCGCACAGTGGCCTGGGAGAGCTACCTCACACCTCCTGCTGGCAGCACCAGGCTCAGAGAAGTGCAGTCCATCCCATGGCTACCATCAGTAGTGACCGAGTGGGAGCCTCAGCAGTGCCAGGGGAAAAACCAGATCAGAAAAATCAGAACAGCACTTCAACAGCTCCAAAAAGCAAACTGTGATTGGACTCACAGTCCACAAAAGTACGCCTGAACCCACACATGAAACCTACACTAGACAAACACACACACTAAACACACCGAAACTGGTGAAATGCATGACTTAAATAGAATCGAGATCCTCCTAACACAATATCCAAAATATCCAGGATAAAGTTAAAAAAAGAAAAAAAATCACTCATCATACAAAAAAGCAGGAAAAACTTGAATGTCAAGAATTTTAAAGCCCCCGTCATAAAAATGCTTCAACATGCAGTTTGCAAGTCTTTTAAAAAGTTACCAAAATGAATCAAATGAAAATTATAGATCTGGAAAATTAGAACTAAAAATTTAAAAATTAATTATTGGGTTCTTTACAATAGACATGATAAAGGATAAAATAAAAAAGCAAATCAAGAGAATTTATTCAATCTGAGCAGGGAGAAAACAGGCTGGAAAAAAACTAACTGATAGGGTCACCAAGTAGCATGGTGATCAAGGTGCTGGACTCCCACATGGTGAACCACGGTTTGAGTCCTGGACCTGGCACTTGCTTTCTCACTTTCCCTTTTGCTCTCTTTCTCTAGTCAAATTAAATAATAATAATAGTAACAAATGCAATTAAATAAATAAGTATTTTTTTTAATTTAACTGAGAAAGGGGGATGCTACAATTTAAAAAGATGTAATGTTTACATAAGCAGGTTTCCAGAAGGAGAGAAGAAATTGCATGGGGTTGAAAAAGTGCACAAAGAAATAACGGCTGAAAACTTCCCAAATTTGATGAAAGACAAAAACCTACAGATACAAGAAGCTCGAAAATCCCCAAAAGGAAAAATCTAAAGCAGCCCACATCAACACTTATCATAACTGAACTTTTGAAAACCAAAGATAAATTTCAAAATCTCTGAAGTAGCTAAAGTAGTAATATTACTGACAAGGAACTATGTTCACAGTTCCATAGTTCATCTGAAACTATGGAAGCTGGAAATAAGTAGACAACATCTTCCAGGTGCTGACAGGAAAGAACTAACAACTAAATTCTCATATCCAGCAAAACTACCCTTTGAAAGAAAGATACTCTCAGATAAAGGAAGACCAAATCCAAGTGCTAAGTAGATGTCAAGAGCACAGAACCCATCACCATCTCAATTCTTGTCATCTGCACTGAAGAGACGCAGACAGCCAGAAATAGGTGACTAATGAAATATTTTTCAAAATCTTTTAAAATGCTATTTATTTTTTAAAAATCTTTAATTAAAAAAACCCTACTTTAATAATTTGGAAAAATACTGAAGATACAGTGTAAAATAAAAGCAGCAAAAAAAAAAAAAAATCACATACACAGTATTGTTTCAAATATATCTACATACATATTTTTTTTTCAAGTTTTTGCTCTACAGCAAGTGCACTTGCCCGAGACAGACAGACACACAGACACACACACACACACAGAGAGAGAGAGAGAGAGAGAGAGAGAGAGAGAAAGTAAGAAATCACCCCACCCCCCACCTCCTGGCCATGCTGCAATCCCTTCTCAACCACTGTCTTCTTGGGATCTGGGGCATTCAAGTATAGGTGCCTAGTGAGTTTCTCAAGCCACTGGGTCTGGGACTCAAACCAGGCAATTGGCCATGTGGGGTGCAGCTATTTTAACCACCACACCACTGGATGGCCCGTGTTTTAATTATTTTTAAGCACATAAAAGAAAATGAAAACCAGTATTCCAAATTGTTATCAGTGGTTGCCTCCTAAAAAGAAATTCTGAATTGTTCTTTTTTCTATGGTTTCTAGTTTTACTAAGAACTTTAAAAATATATATATAGTCGCTGTTCACTTAATAACCTTAATGACTGCTCAGACTAAAGCCAGCTCTCAGCATGAGGAGTCTCCTTTCTCAGTCTGTGTGAGTCTTCGGAATCCCCCTTCTCATTCCGCAGACACATGGACACGGATGCTTTTTGAATGAGTAAAATTACATTATTCTAGTGCGGTGTCGTGTAACATCTACTGAAAAATACACACCTATGGCACCATGACATGCCACACGACATCTGCCTTTAAGCTCCTCACTGATCCACCAATTCGTTTAACTATCTAGTTACAGGAACGGAACTTGCTCGTTAAGTGAGGAGTACCTGTACTTACTACCCGTATAATTAAAACTAACTACAATGCACTGAGACTACGGAAACGAAGAGCAGTGGTAACACTCAGATGTCATAATTAATTCTGCAAAAGCCATGGGGAGGACCTCAGAGGGACGATATACCACAACCACCACTGTGCCCATCTGAAAGAAAAGAGAAGCACGCCTTACGTACCTGTGAATCTGTCCGTTTTTGTGCAGGTATTCCAGCCCTTCTAGTACTTCCCGGAGTATTGTAGCAATGGTAGGTTCGTCGAGGACCCCACTTTTATGTTCGCCCTTTGCCACAATGTGCTTAATAATATCCAGAACAGAACCTGAAAACAGAAAGACACTGCTTTCTAAAAAACTTGAACTCACTCGATACAATTCAGACTCATTTTGCAGAGCATGCGTGAACCTGCTCATAAATGCAATGGAAAAGAAAGAAAAAATAGCAAATGAGGAAATATACAAGTTTAAAGTCAATCATTTACTCGCAATTCCAATCTAAAACAAAAAATAACCTGCTCATATCTAAGCTGTATGTTCTAACTGTATTTCCTTTAGCCTTCTTATGAGGATTTGGAAACAACAGTATAGGATTTTTAACTACCTCTGAAGACTTCCAGATAAACCGTGCCCGTCAATAACACTCTAAGAGAAGACGCTGCAAACCAATGTACACTTCCAGTATCAAGTCAGAGTATGTAATACTGTATGAATAAAGATATAAATGCACGGTCAAACTGCAGGTGGAGTCGGGGAAGAAACACTCAGAAAGCAAAGATCGCCTATGTATACAAACTAAGGGGTAACATTAGTTTTCAGGTTGATAAACTATAGAAATAAAATGGGTAAAGAAGAGACAAATATCGCTGCTGAAGCCACATATGGGGAGAGCAAGTTCACGCCCTGAGGTCTCTCTGGGCATGCCGGGAGCAGAGCGCGTCCGTCATCCTGCCTGGCTGGGTCAGGGAGTGGATCGCAGTGTGAAGATCCTGTCGGAGGTGCCCTCCCCAGCTCTCTCCATCCCTCTTTCTCAGGGAGGAAACAAATAAATGAACTTTAAAAGAGCAGATTAAAAAAAAAAAAATCAATTCTCTTCACATTACAGCCCAGAAGTATTAGTAATCCCATTTTTCCCAGGATGGGAAATAATACTCCTAACTAAAGATTGAGGCTGGAAGGAAGAGACGTTCATTTAGAGTAATTAAAATTACAGAACTCTGACCAAACTAATGACGACAAGTGTGAGCGATTCCTAAGACTTCTGGCAATACGATGGCCCATCAGGATCACAGGACCAAAAGAACAACCTCTGATGTTACAAACGATGCCACAGAGTCTGGAACAGAACACAGACTGCACTGAAAAACTTCAATGCCCCTTTTTTGGTACGACACCTCAACAATCGAGACAAAGATCCTGACAGGGTGAAGGGATGTGGGGGTAGGGGATTGTGGTGTGACCATGCCCCTCTGGGAGGAAATGCTTTTCTTTCTTTCCTTTTTTCAATTTTTGCCAGAGGTGCATGTGTTCGCCTGGGAGACGTGGGCTAGATGTAATTTTCACGCTAGAGTCTGGGACTCAAACTGCCCTCAGCCCAGTGTGAGTCCAGCACTGTAACCACTGTGCCACCTGCTGGCTCCAGGAGGAAACGCTTTCTACTCCTACCCTCTCCTTCCCTCTGTCTCCCTCCAGAGAGCGCACACACCCTCTGGAAATTTTTCTTTTAAAAGCGTCCTCAGGCATGATCTGGGAGAAATATTCTATGCAGCTATATAATTAGTCTTTGAGTTTTAACATGGGAAAGGACTACTTAGTAGGGCAGTAATAATGCGGACTTCCAGACCCTACAGAATAGACTGTCATTTAAAAGATCCGACATCGGGAACCAGCAGTTAGCGTAATGGCTATGTCGCTGGACTCCCACGTAGTCGACCGCGGTTCGTGTCCTGGACCCGGTGGCTTAAAACTCACGCCGGGCGCGTGTGCGTGCGTGCCCAAGATCCCAAGAGGAGAATGGAGGAGAAGGGATTGCGGCGTGACCATCCCCCCTGGGGGGTGATTTCTCACTTTCTGTCTCTATGTCTCTCTCTGTCTGTCTGGCAAGCGCACGCGCCCTACAGTGAAAATCTCTCCAAAAAAGATCCGACATAGGGCCCAAGAAGCTATTTCTTTTTTTTGTTTTGGTTTTTTTTGAGAGGTTTTTGCTATAGGGTGCCAACACTTGCTGCACTCACCAGAAAGAGAGACAGACAGACAGAAAGGCAGAAATCAGCTATGTTTCATTTTTAATGTTCTGCAGAGGGTACATGCACTTGCCAGAGAGAGAGAAAGCCCCCCAGGAGGGACGGTCACACCACAAGCGCTCCTCCATCCCTCGCCCTGTCAGGACTGTGAGCTCACATGCAGCCTTCACCAGCATGTATTCTTCAGGTGGCTGGATCAGGAACTTGAACGGCAGTCGGTCGTGTGGGATCTGGCTGCCTGCACCATCACACCACCAGCTGGCCCAAAGCTGCATTTTAACAACCTAGGTTACTTCGGGACCAGCAGTTAGCATAATGGCTATGTTGCTGAACTCCCATGTAGTCGACTGCAGTTCGAGTCCCGGACCCGGTGGCTTAAACTCGCGCATGTGCACAAGATCCCAAGAGGAGAATGGAGGAGAAGGGATTGTGGTATGGCCCTTCCCCCGGGAGGGTGATTTCTCGCTTTCTGTCTCTCTATCTCCGTCTGTCTTTCTGGCAAGCGCATGCGCCCTATAGCAATAACCTCTCAAAAAACAAACAAATAAACAAAAACGCAACCTAGGTTACTTTGATGAAAGCTACCATTAAAATCTAAACATTTTTTGAGAAAAAAAATCAAATAATGAAGGAAAAAAAGGGATTTGGTACACATTTTAGCAAAGCGAAAAGTTTAAATGTAATTAAAATCTCTTCCCCAAAATGATTTCCTACCTGCCTTCATTGCCTACGGCACAGAACACTTCAATAGCAATGGAGGACCAGCTCCCCGGGGCTAGGGGATCGTGCTGCCCAAGGGAAGCTGGATCTCACACGGCGACCACTGCTCCCGTCTCTGGCTCAGCCAGACTGAAACACACTGGGCTCACACACGAGTACCCCAGATCCATCAGACCGGAGGACTGGGCGGCAGCATGAGCAGACCCTGAGGAGGACGCTCATGGCTCCATCCTCCTCTGTCTCTGTCACACATGTAGGCCCACACTCTATCATGAATAAATTAAAAATGCAATGCAAAGGGCCAGATGGTGGCACAGCTATAAACTGCAAGGCAACCCCACGTGGGGAGGTTTCCAGTTCAAAATCAGGGACCTCCTTGAGTAGGCAAAGAATATGGATCGGGATGTCAAGACCCTGTTGAGGGGGCTGCCTCTTTATTTCTCATGGAAGAAAGAAACTTTTGAAAAATTACAACTTGATCTTCTTAAAAACAAAAGAAGCAATACAAAACTTTCACTGTCTAAGAAAATCTTTACTGAATATCAAAATAATCCTGACAAAGTGAGGAGGCAACAGCTGGCTCAAGACACTTGTTACATCTGGCCATTCTGGCTCAGTAAAATTACTCAGGTGATGCTTAATCTCTTCAGTTTTTCATTAAAAAAAAAAAGATAAAAAGATACTCTTCAAATACAAAATCAACTCATTTCACTTAGTTATTGGTATGTCAAAGAAGTTTTTATTCATGCTTAGCTGCCAGGGCTGTTGTTTGTATCTTCCTGAGCTATGAATGGTTTCAAAGCGGGCAAAAATTGCTTGGCCTGAGTATTTCATTTCAGACCAAGAGACGGTGCATAAGTTTAAAAACTTCGACACTTCTATTTCAAGGCCCAAACTGGTCGTTATTTTCAGATATTTTATCTGCTTAGATCACAGAAGTCCCAATACTTTTTCTCTCTCAGAAGATGATAAAACTGAGGGAATCCCTAGACAGCAAACCAATTCACTAAGACAGTGACCTAAATTAGATTTCTGCATGTCTACACTAAATTCCTGTAAGTACCACAGGTACTTCTTTCTTTTTTCTTCTAGAAATTTTCTTAGTTTGATTTCTAACAACCTTACACTGTAGTTGGTGCTAATAAATTGTAAAATTAGCTATTTAGACCATAAGTATTTTTTTTTTTGAGAGGTTTTTGCTATAGGGCACGTGCGCTTGCCAGACAGAGAGAGCCCCAGAGACAGAAAGCGAGAAATCACCCACCAGGGGGGATGGTCACGCCGCAATCCCTTCTCCTCCATTCTCCTCTCAGGATCTTGGGCATGCACGCACACACACCCGGTGTGAGTTCTAAGCCACCAGGTCCGGGACGCGAACCGCGGTTGACTACGTGGGAATCCAGAGACATAGCCATTACGCTAACTTATGGTTCCCAACCATAAGTATTTCTAATTAAAAAAAAAAAAACTCAGTAAATAGCTTAACAACAATTTATTTAAAAACAAAATAGGGGACTTAGTTATTATAAACCCAAATTCTTTTTTAATGTATTTATTTTAATTTCTTTTATACATGCAACCATATGAATCACTTAGCTTGTAAAGTGGATCTTCCAACATGAATATATTTCTCACCAGTCCAGCTGGGGGTACTATACACGTTATCACCAACAGATAATAACCCATTTCTAACAGACTATATTTTCAAACTAGGAAGCTTGATAGGTATAGACATACACACGATTCTTTGCCCTCCTGACTTTTTTCTTGTATTAATAGTTCTTTCCTGCCACCCCCCCCCCTTCCCTCCCTCTCACCCTCCCAATCTCCCCCCTCCTCCCACACTGTCTCTGGTATCTACAGATGCTTTCCATGCCTTCCCCCCACATTTTAATGATTCACAACATATCTTAATTAATTTAAATACTTTCAACAGCAAGTTTAGCTGATATATACAAATTCTGAACACGTCTGACGTTAGGCGTAAAACTCAGTGAGTAGAATGAACTTACTATAACATACTCAGCACTTAACTGAGGATATATAGCTTACTGTGGTCATTAAATAGGTATTTTTAAAATATTTTTTAATGGCAAGAAAAGCAGGTTTGTTTGTTTGTTTGTTTGTTTTTGGAGAGGTTTTTGTTATAGGGTGTGTGTGCTCGCCAGAAAGACAGAGAGATACAAAGCGAGAAATCACCCCCCAGGGGGAGATGGTCACACCGCAATCCCTTCTCCTCCATTCTCCTCTCAGGATCTTGGGCATGCACGCACACGCGCCCGGCGTAAGTTTAAGCCACCAGGTCCGGGACTCGAACCGCGGTCAGGTACATGGGAGTCCAGCAACATAGCCATTACGAACTG